TGGTTTGAGAGTGGATGTTTGTGGCAGTTCTGATTATGCTCTAGTATTTTTAAAGAGTTGTGTTAATGATGACCACCTTGCCCATGGGAGTTGAGTCCATTCAGTGCAAATTAATTACAGACAAGAAACCAGCTTGCACTGCAGAGCAATTATTTAAGATCCCTGGAGTGTGCTGCAAATGCAGCATTGGTCTTATCTTTGCTTGTCTTTCCTTTGCTCTCTCTTTGTCTTCACATGGATGACTGTGGTGCTCTGGGTCTGGGCATCAGAGCAACAATTCCTGATCTTGATGCCCTCATGACTTAATGTCCTTGTCTGTTACAAGGATCATGGAAGCAATCAATCAGCAAGCATAAAACGCCTTCTCTGTATCACGTATTGTACTCAGTTTTAGAAATGTATTGTTAGTTGCCATCTAGTTAGCTCTGACTCACGGTTACCCCTATGTATAACAGAACAAAACGTTGTCAGGTCCTGTGTCATGTTCATGAATGTTGGAATACTAGAGTCCATTGTTATGTCCACTGTGTATTTTGAGTGCCTTCCATACGTGGGGGCTCATCTCATAATCCATAGGTTTTCAAGGACTGATTTTTGGAAATAAATCTCCAGGCTTTTCTTCCTGGAAACAAAATGTATATAGCCCTTGCTCTAAAGAGGTCATACATAAAATGTAGAAAACACTTTACAGTTTGCAGAGTCATTTGAATCATCAGGCTGAGCCTGACAGCTCTCATGCTCTAATTGGTTGTACTGGTATCCCATTTTACAAATGAGAAAACTGAAGCTCAGAGAGGTGACAGCTTGCCCAAAGTCACCCAGTTACTATGTGAGGTAGCCAGATTTGGGCCACAACACAGATTGGATGACAGAGTATATTGAAAATCCTCTATCATCTGGCTGCCCAAGTCAAAGGGGTCATTGTTCTCATCGGGATACCAGACATCTTCTATCTTTCCCTGGGATGCTAGGGATGACAAGACCCTGTAGGGCTGGAGGCTGGATCCTGAACGCAAGGAAAGAATGGGAGAATCCTCCCACTTAGGGCAATAGAGAAAACTTTTATTCGAGGTTCAGAATGACCCGGAGGTCCCAGAGCCAGCTGTGGGAAGAAATAAGAAGTAACAAAAACCTTAGGGGATTCGGTTTCTTGGTTTGGAGGGTTAGGGTCATGGTTTCATGAGACATCCCTATTAAATGGCCTAGTAACACGTTTAGTGCTTCTCTTCTACCTAGTAGTTTGTAGTGTAGTGTCTGGGGTCTTAAAAGCTTGCAAGTGGCCATCCAAGGCACAATGATTTCTCTCTGTTCACCTAGAGCAACAGAGGAAGGAGAATCAGGGAATAGGAGGAGGAAATGGAATGTATAGCTAATTGCCTCCATGAACAACTGCCTCCTTTGCCGTGAGACCAGGAAAACTAAATGGTGCCTGGCTACCATTATGGAACATTTTGACCAAAGATTCTGTAGAAGAATCTTGATCAAAAGAGGGGAAATGCAGAACAGAATTGTACGTTGTCATGGACTGTAGACTTTCTGGAGCCATGGAGGCAAGATGAACCCCTGAACTATTGCCCTAAGTTAATTTTTAAAACTGAAACCAAAAATATTCCCTGAAGTCTTAAAATCAAACAGTAGTTTAGCTTATTTGATAAAGAATGTCTGCCTTGAGCATTATGATCTTTTAAGAACTGTCTGGGATCGTTGACAACAGCAACTAAAAAGGTTAGATGGGTACCTTAGGGGGCAGTGAGTTTATGTTAATGAGAGAGGAACAACTCAGAAAAGGAAGGTGAGAGTGGTTGAACAGCTCAAAGAATTTAGCCAGTATCACTAAATGGTACATGTAGAAACTGTTGAATTGATGTATGTTTTGCTGTGTATATTCTCAACAACAACAAAATAAATAAAATTATTTTTAGAAAAGTAATACCTTCTCCTTCTAGCAGCCCTCCTCACCTGTTTTTACTGGTAGTTCACACTTTCTTCACTCTCTGAAACGTGCTTTCAGGAAGGCTCTAATAGCTTCCACACAGTGAAGTTCTGTTTCTAATTATAGCTCATGTATGTGGCCTCCACTAAGGACACCCATACCCTGAGCCCAGAGAATCTTCACTAGTTCAAGATTTGTTGTTGTTGTTATTTGCCATCGAGTCGGCCCCGAGTCCTAGCGACCCCTCCTTGGGTTTCCGAGGCAGTTATCACTACAGAAGTAGGATTGCCCAACCTTCCTTCCGAGCAGTGGCTGGTGGGTTTGAACTGCCAGCCTCCTGGTTAGCAGTCAAGTGCCTTGGCACTATGCTACCAGAGCTCCCAGTTCAAGATTTGGCCCCTGAGAATACTGATCTTTGTGACTGGGCTGAAGGCTCTGAGACCTGCAGATTGCAGGGGACTGAGCTGGCTGAGGGCTGGCCTAAAAAGGTGCTAGCTCATCTTCCCTTCTTGGCATTGCAAGCCAGAGTGGGAGCACCCTCCCAGAATCTCCTCACTACCACCCTCCATTTCCCAGCAGAGCAGGTTACCATGGCCAGAGGTCAGCGCAGGACAGGATGAGGTGTTCAGGAAGTGGAGACCTCTAACCTCCACATCTGCTATCCCATCTGACAGTGCAGGCGGCCTGTTTGCAGCTGTTCAAGGGGCAGAGCACCAATTTCTCTCAGCCTTCCTTTCTTTCATTCTGTCTCTCTCTCTCCATCAATCCCTCCTTTACTTCCTCTTCCCCCTCCCTTCCTTCCCCCTCCCTCTTCTCTCTCCCTCTCTCCCCTTCCTTGTTTTTCTTTGTCTCTCCTCCTTTCCCTTTCTCTCACCTATCCCGCCTCCTTTTGGTTTTTCCTACCCCATTCCTGTCACTTCTAGCCTTCCATCCTCTCCTTCGCTAGGGTAGAAAAAGCCAAACGCCCTGCCATCGAGTCAATTCCAACACATAGCGGCCTCCACTGCATTTCCAAGGCTATAAATCTTTACGGAAGTAGATTGCCTTATTTCCCTCCCATGGAGCAGCTGGTGAGTTTGAAACCATAAACCTTCTGCTTAGCAGCCAAACACTTTACCCACTATGCCACCAGAGCTCCTTCACTGGGAGAAAAGAAGACCAGAAATCCTTTTGGTGGTGGTGGGGGTGCTACTAATCTTCTCAGGCACTTTCCCCTTTGGACCTTTAGCAGTGAAAATTGTTCGACAATGGAATTAACTATGTTATCCAGTAGTTTCTCACTGAGGGAGGCAATCAAACGCGGCAGCGTGATCATACTTCCTGAGTGTGTAAAGGTGATACCTTCTATGATCCTGAGATTTTCCTCATCGGCATTGCTTTGCAATTCAACGTGGTTTTAGGAATCCCCCCCCATCCCCCCATGTATTTAAAATGATAGACCTGGACCTCATGTAAGAGCAGGTGTGTTTCAAAATAAAATACTTTTGTTGTGAGAAATCTTGTTGTCAGTTGTCATTGAGTCAGCCCCCAACTCTTGACAACCTTATCCACACAGAACAAAATACTACCCAGTCCTGTGCCATCACCACAATCTGCTGTGGATCAGACAGTGTTCTGTTGTGATCCCTAGGGATTTCACTGGCTGATTTTTAGAAGTAGATCTCCAGGCCTTCCTTCCTATCTCAGTTGGAAGTTCCTCTGAAACCTGGTCAGTGTCCTAGCAGCATGCAGGCCTCCACTGACAGACGGGTGATGGCTGCCCCTGAGGTGCATAGGCCGGGATCAGACCCAGGTCTCCTGTATGGAAGGCGAGAATTCTACCACCAAGCCCCCATTGCCCCCTAAGAGAAATCTTACTTTATAATTTCAGTATTCAGAATTTTTTTTATAATTTGAGAATTTTCTTTTCATTTTAAAATGAAATTAATCATGATCAGAAATTTTAGACAATAGAATCAAGAAGAAAAAGTCATTCTTAATTTCCTATCTTTGACATACCCACTGTTTGTATTTCATTGTATTTCCTTTGAGATTTTCCCTTTGTTCATTTTTTTTACACAACTGTATCTACAAGTGGCATAGTGCCTAAGGCACTTGACTGCTAACCAGAAGGCTGGCGGTTCAAACCCACTAGCCACTCCTCGGAAGGAAGGTTGGGCGGTCTACTTTTGTAATGATACCACCTCGGAAACCCAAGGAGGGGTCGCTATGAGTTAGATCCGACTCCATGACAGTGGGTTTGGTTTTGGTTGGTATCGACAAGTGTATTAAAACTACTTTGTATACCTTCTTGCTTTCTTAGTACTAAGCATAAATATTTTTACACAGTCACTATCTTTCTCATTTTCAGTGACAGCTCAGTACTCTGCAGAGCAGATGCACTATGGTTTTGAAACAACACATCATAGGAACCTCTTCAAGGATGAATAATTATAAAGCAAGAACTTTGTATTCCTTCAGGGAAGGAATCACATTACCCCAGTTTTCACCCATCTTGTGAAAGAAGAATATTCCCCAAGCTCCCCAGGGAAGGGAGGGAGTAGCATGCTTTAAAAGGCCAGCTCTGCTGGGAACAGTATAAAGTGCTCTTTTGTTGTTGGTAACTGCCTTGGAGTCACCCTGACTCCTGGTGACCCCACATACAATGAAACAAAATGCTGCTGGCTACTGTGCCATCCCCACAATAAATTATATGTGAGACTGTTGTGACCCATGGGGTTTAATTAGCTGATTTTTGGAAGTAGACCACCAGGCCTTTCTTACTCCATCTTAGTCTGGAACCTATTCAGCATCATAGCAGCACGCAAGCATGCACTAACATACAGATGGCTACATGTGAGGTACTTTCTGAGTATTGGTTAATTCACCCCTTATGATCACAGAGCGCTTCTCGTCATCCCTGTTTCACGCTTGGGTCCAGAAAAGCAAGCTTAAGGTCACCGGGCTTTCTTTACGTAGGCCAGGGCTCCGAATTTGCAGGTGGGACCTGCCTGGCTGTCCCCAGCCAAAGGAGGTTGTATGTGCTCAGGCCTCACAACTCTTGGGTAACAGCCTCTTGGGATTTCAGGATTTCCATGGAGCTATCATGAGGACCTTGGATGAAATGGACCAAGAGGGCAGGGACACACTATCCAGAGAAGCACTGAGGCTCGGCCTGAGCCAAATTCCAGCTATCCGTGACCTTCACCGGGGGATCCTAGAGGAGCTGGAGGAGAGGCTGGTCCACTGGTGAGTATTTCTCCAGCCTCACCTCCATTCTGTTGCCCTAGGGGTCAGAAAATCAAAAATCTCAGACCAGCTGGGAAGTTGACTCTGACTCCAACCCCATTGTGTCAGAGTAGAACTATGCTGCACGGGGTTTTCAGTGGATACCTTTCCGAAGAAGGTTGCCAGGTCTTTCTTCTGAGGCACTTCTGGGTGGACTCCAACCTCCAACCTCTCGATTAAGAGCTAGCATGTTAACCATTTGCACCACCCAGGGATTCCCACTATGAGGCAGATGGGGGATAAAGACATCACCATGTGACATGTGTCTCCGTTTTATTGATGGAGAATCCAAATACAGAAATGTTAAGTCATTTGCCCAAAATAAAACAACTCCAGGAAGGTAGAGCTGGGGTTCAGCTTCCATCCTCTAACTTTTGTGCTGAGTGGACACCCAGGCTGAGTTCTCTTTGTCTGTCCCCTCCCCGACTGTAGGGAGGGCCAGCAGAAGGTGGCTGATGTCTTCCTGGCGCGGGAGTCGGAGTTTGACCACCATGCCGCTCATATCCTGCAGTTCGACAGGTACCTAGGTCTGCTCAGTGAGAACTGCCTCCACTCCCCACGGCTGGCAGCTGCTGTCCGTGAATTCGAGGTGGGTCCCATGTTCCTCCAAGACCTGCTCTAAGACTGTAAGAGGGACGGTGGGCACCAAAGGGCTTAACGCACTTGGCTAGGGCATCCGGGTCAGGCCAAGCATGGGCAGCAGAGAGGTAGACCTGGCCAGGACATGGATGGTGATCCATTAGGAGGGAAAACCAGAAACCCAGAACATCCTTGGCTGGGCCACTGATGACAGCTTGGTGGCCCCACCCAATGAAGGTCTCTCCGGAAGTTCTCCCATCCCGGTAAGGAAGCATGAGTCAACTTAGGGTCCCAGACAGTGGGGTGCCCAAGGCATTTACCACCACTGGCCATACACTTGGCATCCAGTTACTGGGACTTTTCTCTATTTCTAAAACTAGGAGTGAAGCAAGGACCAGGAGAGGAGTGTTACTGAATATTGCACCAGCTATGAGCCTGAAGGGATTAACTGTCACGGCAGGGTGAGGCTTATCTGGGAGGGCTCTCAGGGGGAGGAGACTCTGGATTTGAAGATAGAGGAGAAGCTCAGGTTGGCCAGGAAGAGGTATGAGGATGGTGTGGAATGATGGTTGTCAGCCAAGAACCTAAGGGAGGGGTGTCTAATGGGGTTTTCTTCCCCTCTCTGAGAGCAGCAGAGTCTGCAAGGAGGCGGGCAGAGTGTGAAGCATCGGCTGCTGAGGGTGGTCCAGCGCCTATTCCAGTACCAAGTGCTCCTCACAGGTAGGCCCTACAAGAGATCACGGTGGACAGAGGTAGTGGGTAGAGGGGAAGCACCTGAAGAGGGGATGGAGGTGACAGCAAGGCGTGTGATGATGGCCTCCTGTCTTACAAAGGCTATTGGGGAGGGAAAGCGTTGCTGTGAATATCCTGCCTTCTCCCCTCCCCCCCCCCAGAGGTATTTGATTGTAATCCCCACCTTCCCACTGGTTGAGCCAACTTGGAAACCTCACTTCAGTGGTCCCCTACTATATGGGCCTTCAACCTCTCCCATCCCAAACCTCCCCTGTTCTGAATTTCCTCCCTGTCTCAGCCAGTCACCTCCTCTTGTCAAGGCCACCAAAGCCCTCCCTGTGGCCAAAATCAGTGAGCATTTCAGTCTTGGACTTGATTGACTTCTCTGTGGCATTGGCAATGACTACTTCCTGCCCCTGTAAAAAAACAAAAACAAAAAAAGTGTGTGCTGGAGGCATCTGACTTCCTCTCACTTCACAAAAGGGAAACAGAATCACCATCAGCAGCCCAAGGCTGATTACTATGAGGCAGAGCACCCTTCAACCTTTTTTTTTTTTTTTTTTTCAAGTTATGACACCAGCTGTCCATCTCACAGCACACTCTACTTCTCTCCTACCAGACCAAAGCAAACTCACTGCCATCGAGTTGGAACCAACTCATAGCGACCCCTCCTTGGGTTTCCAAGGCAGTATCATATCAGTACAGAAGTAGATTGCCCAGCCTTCCTTCCGAGGAGTGGTTAGTGGGTTCTATAATCTTGAGTGGCCACACTGAACTCACAGACAGTGCTCACGATTATGGGGTTTATTAGGGAAGTAATAGGTTACACTTCAGGTTTAGGAACACTCAGGATATACAGTTCTTCTATCAAGACAGCCTCCCCTCGACCATGCCCAAAGGCATGGGCCCTCGGCCTCTCGGTCTGGCCTCTGCCTTGCTCTGGCAAGGGTTACAAAGTTCCTTTAGCTCTAATGATAGGTGCACCCCACTTTGCCAGCAAGCCTCCTGCCCAAAGGCATTCAGATTTCTCTCTTTGTGGACTGGTAAGCCTGCTGCTCTGCCATGTGCCAGTCTCTTGGTTCTGCGGCCACTGTCTCTCTGCTGTCTCTCGGCCATCATCTCAGCAGGTCTTTCAGCTGATCTCTCTGCCAAGGGAGGTGCAGTGCAGGGATCTTGGGTTCAAGGACGTGTTCCACTCTACCTCCTGCTCTTCTCTCTTGAGGGCAGTGAGATTCCTCCCTTCTGCCTCTAAGAATGATCATTTTAAGCCTAGCAGGATGATAAAACTAACCAATCTCCACATGAGAGTTCTGTGCACCTTATTTCCATGGTCTCACCCCTACAAAGGTCCATGTACCTTATTTACATTACTAGCAAGCTATCCATTCCCCTTGGTGGGCCACAAGCATCTTATATTTGCATAGGTACACCCAGTCATGTGGTGGGTGCCCCAAAGACCATGACTAGAAGAGCCAGACCAAGTAATTCACTGCATCACAAGCCTTGTGGCTATAAGTGTGTTGGAAGTTTAACACATCACATTCTACTGTATCGATTGACATGTCTGTCTCCCCCCTTAGACTGTGTGCTTCTGAAAAGAGGTGTTACCTGCTATCCCATAGGCATAGCATGGTACAGGCACTCAGCAGATATTTGTTGAGTTAGTTAATGACCAGCAGTGGTAGCAGCAATGCTGCTGGTGGTCATGGTGCCCCAGTACTATGCTAGTGTGTGTTGTGGTGGGACTGAAAGAAGTGGGAGGGTGGACACGTCATTCTTCTGGAACTTTCATCTCTGGAAAGAGGGTATCCACAGTGTGGACAGGAGGGACTGGCCTCACTGAGGCATAACTGACTTCTGACTCTTGTTCTGTCTACAGATTATTTAAATAACCTCTGCCCAGACTCAGCTGAGTACGAGAACACTCAGGGTAAGTTAGGCATGTACCAGGAGGAAGGTGACACTTTCCTGTTTGGGGCCCATCTCCCCCAACTCTGCCCTCTATACTAGTTCCCAGGCCCAGGACAGTCTAGTTGTGTTCTAAATATGAGCCCCCCAGGGTTTCTCCTCATCTTCAGAGACAGGAGTCCCTGGGATGGCCAGTGTCCAGTAAGAGGAGGAGAAAGGGGTGACCAGAATTTGGTGATAGGAGGTGGTGCTAGATCTGAAAAGCATACCCAGTCTCTCCATATCCCCTCCAAATTCTGTGTGGCTGTCCCTGGAGGACCTGCTTGCCAGGGTAGTTCCCATCTTAACATACTCAGTCTACATCCAGGGGAATGGGGCCCTTAGTGACCAAACTACTGTCAAGTGACCAAATCAATAACCTTCCATGGGAAAAGCTGGCCACCACATATAAGGTCCTGCAGTTGTAGCAGTGTCAGGGAACAGTCGGGGGCGGGGCAGGAGTGTGGCCAAGGAAGAGGCAAGGACAGCCTCAACTAACTGGCTCTTCCCTGCATCCAGCTGTCTGCTCTGCTTCCCTCTGCAGGTGCACTGACCCTCATCTCCAAAGTCACAGACCGTGTGAATGACAGCATGGAGCAAGGGGTAAGTCAGGCCCATTAGCACCTCCTTTGGGTGCAGATTCCAAGACCCTTCTCTAGGTCTGCCTAGGAGTACCCTACTTCCTGGGGGCCACAGGCAACCATCTGTCTCCTGGGACTTTGCAAAGAGTCTTGGGTTCTGGTATGACAGCAAGTATCAACTTGCTGTGTGACCTCTGATACTGAGTATCCTTCTCTGGGCCTCAAGTTTACCTTTTGAACAGCGAGGGTGGCCACAGACTTGTAAACTGGAGAAGTATTACCCAGCTGTGGTCTTAGACCATCTGTATCAGCACCTGGAGTCCTTTGTAAACTATATCTCAGATATATCCAGTCAGAATTTTTGAAGGTAGGCTCCAATGATACACATTTTTTTTTCTTTTTATTGTTTTTATTTTAAGAGGTTGTTTTACATCCAACATTACATGTATGTTTAGTTTCACTCCCCATTTACCCTGTCCATCCCTAACCCAATCTCCTTTCCTTCCCCTGTGCCCCTCATATTTGTGCACTCCTGTTTGTCCTGCATTTTCTCAACCTGAATGTTGGTCCTCTGGTCGCCCGTGGTCCATTGCTCTAAGGGATGTATTACCATAGAGTATGTGGGTGCATCATCCTGGGTTGAGTGGTCTGCATGTACATTTTGTTAACTATTGGGCTGAGAGCCAGCCCCTGGGGGTGAGTTTTATTCCAGGTGCAGAATGTATTCCAGGGCCATAGTATTAGGGGTCTCATTAGACTTCCTCTGACCAATAATTCTGGTCATTATTGAGTTTTTGGATTTTGTTCCACATCTTCCCTCCCACTCTATACAGGACCTCCAGATTTGATCCTTTCCTGAGTGGCTGGCATTGGTAGCCGGGCACCATCTAGTTCTTCTGGTCTCGATGGCCATTGTGTCCTACAGCTGATTTCTTCCAAGTGCCCTTCTTTTTTTTTTTTTTCATTCATTTTCACTTCTGATGCTAGGAGACCATTAGCTGCATCTTAGATGGCTGCTTGAAAGCTTTTAAGACCCCAGTCGCTACTCACCAGTGTAGGATGCGGAACAAGGCTTTTATGTATTCTGTTGTGCCAATTGAGTCTGGTGTCCCCAGTGCTATGGTCCTGAGACGGTAGATCTAGTGGATCTCTCTCCCATAGTGTCTGGGTCAATGATACAAATTTTTAACAAGCACCCCTGGTAAATTTGATGCCCATAAAAGTTTGAGAGCCACTAGAATATGTGACCTCTAAGTGCATGTCTGATTTCAACAGTGTATCAAGGGTTACTAGGTTTCTGCCAAGGATGAAAAATTTTATTCCATATTCCAACTCCATTTGGATGATTACCATGGATGAGTCCACATACTTACTGTCCCACAAAGCTATAATGTATTTAAGCTCTGTGGTGAGAAGGATTCTGAGGCTGAGTCCTAGCTCAGTGACAAAAGAGATCAGTGATCAACTAGTGATGTCTCCCCCAGCACAGAAGGGGATAGTGGTGCTGTGTATGCTGAGGAGTTACTCAGCTTTGCTGTGGCAGATACATAGGGCATTCTTACGGTGAGCAAGGGAAGGAACATTTATTTATTGGACACCTACCACGTTTCGGTTCTGTGTTGGGCACTAGAGATACAGAGGTCCATAAATGCCAGCTCTTGAGGAAATCACAACTTAATGGAGTAGTAAATAGGTGGACACATAAAACCTTGATAAACATCTTTAGAGAGAGAAAATGCTATAGGTTCTGAGAAGGGAGGCATCCCTTCCACCTGGGGTTGTGAAAAGAGGTGATACAGTAGGTGCCTCCTGAGGAAGGATTGTATACGTGCCAGGAAGGCAGAGGGAGAGAGAAGGTGCGCCAGGAGAGGGAATGGCATGGGCAGAGTTTGACAGTAGGAAGTATAAGATGCAATCACGTTCAGAGTCACCCAGCATGGCTGCTGCAAGGGGAGGAGGGGAGGGAAACAGACAAGAGTCTGAGGAAAAGACTGGGGCCTGCTGGAGGGTTGCTGCATGTGGAGAGCAGTTCATGGAGGGTCAGACATGCTTTGTCATCAGATCCTTGCCCTGCTGGTCCCCTAGCTCCCTGCTCTGTCACTTTGGCATCCTGTACACACAGTGAAATTCATTGGATGTAGCTGCAACAGAGGTGCTTTGGGGCCCATTGTCATGATCATGGCAGAGCAGCATGTGGTCTGTGTTCTCCACACTGCCCCCAGCCTGGGCCACCCTCTTTCCTCACCCTCTTTCATTCTAATGAAGGACAGGGAGTAGATGGAAACCACCGAAAAGACACGATGGCAAAATTCATCTTCACCAGCTTTTCAGGAACAGTTGGGATAGATTCCTACATAGTATTTGTACTCATAATGATAATAATAGCAGCTGCCCCCATTGAGAACTCGCTGTTTCCAGGCATGGTGCCAGCTGCTTTATAACATGATCTCTTTAATCCTCACTGTAATTGTGCTATGAAAATGTTAGCAGCCGGGTTTTACAAGTAGGGAAACTGAGACTTGGAGAGAAGAGTAACTTTGCCTACCAGTTACTGTCAAGTCGATTGTAATCATGACAGTCCCTTGCATGTCAGAGTAAACTGTGTTCCACAGGGTTTTCCATGGCCAGTTTTTCAGAAGCAGATTGCCAGGCTTTCTTCCAAGGAACCTCTGGGTAAACTCAAACTTCCAGCTTTTTGGTTAGCAGCCAAGTGTGTTAACCATTTGCACCACCTAGGGGTTCAAGATCACTTGGCTGGGAATGTGAGAGCTATATTTGAACTCAGGTCTTTCTTAAGCACCAGACCAGACTTCTTGCACATATCACAAATGAGTTCAGACCTACAGCCTCACGTGCATCCATTCATGAACATACAACTGAGTGCCCACACACAACACCTGCTCACTTGCATGCACACATGCAAACTTAGAGAGGGACCATTTTTCTGTTTTCCACATTTCTTTTAATAGTAGTAGTGTTATTAGTATCAACCTAGCCATTGGGTGTATCATTAAATGGAGGTTTGGAGTTGGTTCCCCGGTAGGTCAAGAGTAAGAGCCCTTTGAAGATTTGTTTGGTGGGTAGATGTAGCTTTGTTCTAACTATAGTTATTCAGACCAAGCCTCTGAAGACTGCTTAAGGGGAAAAATCATGCATCTGGTTATAAGGTTAAGTTTTCAAGACTCTAGAGCAAATTAGCTATTATTTACCCTCTTTGCTATATGGTCTTTTTGAGTCAGAATCAACTCAATAGCACACAACCACAGAAATCTCTACAGCATGAAAATAAAATCTCTCTCCAGAAGAGGGTATCAGGAGACACGAGCAAAGTCTGGGTATATCTTTTTTTTTTTTTTCCCTGAAAAAGTCCTTACTTTACCTTCATTTTTCAGTAGACTTCATTTTTAGAAAGTGTTAGAATTATGGAATTATCCTAAAGATAGAACAGAGGTTCCTCAAAGTCTACCCTACTCCCCAGTTTCCCCTGGTACATTTGTCATAATTAATTAACACTGATATATTATTATTAACTAAGTCTATACTTTATTCAAATCTCCTTAGTTTTTTCCTAATGTCCTTTCTGTTCAAGGACCCCATCTAGGATGTAATATGCATTTAGTTGTCATGTCTCCTTAGGCTCCTCTCGGCTGTGACAATTTCTCAGATTTTCTTTGCTTCTGATTTGATTACCTTGACAGTTTGGAGGAGTATTGGTCAGGTATATTATAAGGAACTCTGGTGGTGTAGTGGTTAAAGCATTTGGCTGCTAACCAGAAGGTTGGTGGTTTGAACCCACCAGCTGTTCTGCAGAAGAAAAACGAGGAGATCTGCTTCCATAAAGATTTACAGCCTTAGAAATCTGAAAGGGGTCACTACGAGTCAGAATCTACTCAATGACAGCGAGTTTTTTAAAATATATTACACTTTAGATGAATTGCTAACCAATTGAAATTTGTCTGCTGTTTTCCTCCTGATTAGACAGGGGTTATGGGATTTTGAGAGAAAGATCATAGAAGTAAAATGTCATTTTCATCATATATTAAGGGTACATGCTGTCGACATGACTTCTCACTGTTGCTAATAACCTTGATCCCCTGACTGAGGTAGTGTTCACCAGGTTTCTTCACTATAAAGTTACTTTCTTTTCCCCTTTCTTTCCATTTTGTATTCTTTGGGAAGGAGTCACTGTGTTCAGCCCACACTTAAGTAGTAGGAAGCTTTACTCCCCCTCCTTTAGGGTAGAGTATCTACATGCATTGAACCGTCAATGTTTTGTTCTGTTGTACAGAGGTGTGGTGGTTAAGTTTGTGTGTCAACTTGGCTGGGCCTGGTTGAGTGGCTGGGCAGCTGAATGTAGTTACTCCCCCATGGTGAGATTGGTAATTAACTCCATGGTGGAATCTGTTGGAGTAGCTGCGTAGCTGCTTTGGGTATGTGGCCTGCTTCCCATATATAAGAAACAGCTTTGGGAATGGTTTCTAGTTTATGACACACTTGAACCCTGCATGTAGCCGTGTCATTGTTCAGCAGCCTGCCATGCTCTGCCAACCTTGGGACTTTCAATGGACTTGAATTAATGGCCTACTCTGTGGTTTGGTAACATTGGGACTGTGTTAGTTTATTTGTTGACCTTGGACTTGTCAGTCTGAGCAGCTAGCACCTGTCTTGAGTGACGAAAAGCCTCCAGCTTCAGTGGGCCAGGAGCAGAAGGCAGAGCTGAAGCCCAAGGTTGAGGGGCTTTCCCCCAGCCCCTAGAGCCTGGCACTTTGAACTTGAACTTAAAGCCTCCAAACTGTAAGAGAATAAACTCTTGTTTGTTAAAGCCATCCCATTTGTGGTATGTTCTTGTCAGAGCGGCACTAGGTAATCAGAACAATAGGGTAGCTATGAGTGGAAGCTGACTTGATGGCACCTAACAACAACAACAACAAACAACATCCACATAAATTATTTGGAATTCCTCTGCATGGGGGATTTGTCTCTTCTTCCCAGTTTATTAATGTATTCAGTCATATACTTATA